TTTAAAAGCCTGTGGAACATAACCTGTTAATAGAGAGAGGTTAATCAGATCTAGTATGGATGTGTTGATTAGGGGAAAGACGTCTTTGAGCAGCCTTGTCGGGATGGGGTCCAGGAGACATGTTGATGATTTAGATGAAGCAATTGTTGAGGTCAACTCAGAGAGATCTATAGGAGAGAAGTAGTCCAAGTATAAATGAGGTCCCACAGATGTCTCCAAATCCACTGTAGTAGATAACCAGCGGTTGAATGACGACATGCGGCTAAACATGTCATCACTGGTCACATTGGGTAGGGGTCCAGAGAAAACTATGGAGTCCGACATTGTTTTAGCGAAGTTACACACCGACTCAACATTAATTTTAGTGACCTCCGACTGGCGAAGTCGGGAGTCATTAACGCCGACGTGAATACTGTAACAACCTTACTGTATTTACGCTTATCCTTAGTCAGCAGCTTCTAATAGGATTCAATGTCGCCCGCTCTGGCCCCAGGAAAACATTTGACTATGGCCGCCGGTGTCTCTAGCTTCACTTTTCTGACTATGGAGTCTCCGATTACCAGAGCTGTTTTCTCAGCGGGTGTGTCGCTGAGTGGGGAAAATCGACACAAATAGATAAAACATTAAAATTCATATATAGATAAAACGCAAATTACATTAAAACATTAAATGCAAATTAAAAGCAACAATTATATGACAGCTCAAAGTGTAGAAACCTAGTACTTTTAGTGTAGCTGTGGCAAACTGTGGATTCTCACTGTTCTCTATATACTTTGTAGTCCTATTCCTTAGTCTTCCCCAGATTACCCTCTTAGCACTTAAACATCAGCGGCAGCCGTACTTTCTTCTGGAAACTTGAACCCCCTTGAAACACCAGTGTCTCTACATACACAGCACAGTGAAGACAGTTGGTCACTGAGTAATGGATAAAAGCAGATAAAGTGCAAACCTGGGTGGAATTAAGATGCATTAATTCAAAGCAGAGGAAAAAAGATCAGTCTTTAGTTTTTAAAGTAGTTCCAGTTGGGGCAGATCTAAATCCTAATGGGAGCTGGTTCCAGCTGTGTGCAGCACTGTGGCTAAAAGCCCTTCCACCTTGTTCACTGTAGTCCGACCTCTGGGCACCACTAGCTGACCGGTCCCTGCACATCTGAGACACCTACCAGGCCTGTACTCAGCAAACATCTCTGGGGTGTTTTGGGCCCAGACCATTGAGAGACTTGGAGACAATCAGTAGGGCCTTACACTGAATCCTGTATTTAACTGGAAGCCAGTGCAAAGACCTAAGGACTGGAGTGATGTGTTCTCTCTTCTTGGTGTTTGTCAGTTTTCTGGCAGCTGTTTAAAGGTCTTACTGAGGAGGCCAATCAGGAGTGCATCACAGTAGTCTACCTTACTAGAAACTAATGCAGGAATGAGATTTTCCAAATCCTGCTTATAGACTGAAAGTTTTTCATTTTAGCTGTTTTTAAGATGGCAGCCTAGATGTGGCCATTAAAATTTAGATCCTCATCAATGATTACACTAAGATGTTAGTTTTTAGTGTCTTGGACCTAGGGCTGATCACTGGCCACCAGCCATTTTTATTTATTTACAAAACAAATGATTTCTGTTTTGTTTTTGTTTAGTTGAATTGTATTACCTCAGATGAAAAAACTCTGGTATTTTAGTTGAAACTGGTCTATCGAACAGTAGAGGGCACAGTAAGACAGGGGAGTGAGAAGGGGTATCTGCTGAACTAATGGATCTGATGTCATTTAAAGCAGACAGGCTGCTAAAGCAGTTTTAGTTTCTGAGGTATAGCTTTTAAAAACATGCTGTCCAAAACAGTTCTAAGTCCGCTAATGTTAATGAGGCAAAGGAGAGGTGTAACAGGACATAATCTGCTGAATTACAGCAACTCATCTTCACACAGAACATTTAATAATTAGTAATAACTTTTGTACCTAAGGGGGGATTTCAGTGTCTTGCCCAAGGGTACTTTGACTGCAGGCACCGAGATTCGACCCTTCAACCTTCTGGTTGGGAAACAACTGCTCTACCCACCGCACCACTGTCACCTCCAACCTTTGTGCTCTTTCTAACCCAGCTGATCAGAAATCCACTGCCTTTAGCAGCTCCTTTCCTTTTCCATTTTTAATTTTCTCTTTACAAGGCATCTTTGCACAGCAGAATGAAATATTGTGATTAATAAAAGGAACTGTAATAGCCTTCACAAAAAAACAATAAAAACTGCAAGTGGCAACTATTATTAATAATAATGTAG